CCCATCTCAAATGTAATCGGTGTAGCCCTCAAGACTTAAAAAGTCAAGGAACCTGCTTTGCAACTGATTCTTTGCAACTGCGTTTTTTTCGCGTTCGTTCACCGAAGGAAAGAATAATATCCCATAATGCAATAGTATCGATAAATGGGGGTGTCTAGAAATCTCAGACCTCAGATCCCAGATATCAGACCCAAAAATCTCAGACGCCCCAAATTTGAAAAACTCAGACCTAGAAAACTCAGATTTCCCAAAAAACGTCACTCAAAAAGTGATTTTGCTTTCTTTATAACTTCATCGTGATTAGTCCAACTCGCTCACTTTGTCTACTTTGTAGGCGAACTGATAAGAACCATATCCAAGTCTAGAAAGAGAAAGAAAAATGCGTTATCCTTTGTCGGATTTCATATGGCTCGCGGTCGGCTGCATCGCAGCCAAACATGGCTCGCTCCGCTCGCCAAGACGTCGACTTGTAGCAAGTCTATCTCGTTAACAGCAGGTTTTTAATAAAGTTTAGAACCAAGAAGTTAGGTAGTGTGATATGGCTCTCGCTCCGACGGTAAATAATAATAAACATTTTTTATGTTTGAGTAACATCGTTGTTCCTTCCTGCATCTATAAATCTAAAACTCCGTACAAAACTGTCGAGACTATTCCATCTGTTTTCTAACTTTTCTCCCTACTCCCGTCTCCCCTAAACACAAAAAGTAAACCCCCTCCCCACTTCCTATTCAAAGTTGTCTTGGTCTAAAAACCAACGTGTATAATTGCCATGCTATCCTAAACAAATTTGGATAAGGGGAGGGGGGAAATCGGGCATTCATTTGGCGGAGATTTCAGTTTTTGCCGGGATGATAGGAAAAAATAGGCATTTTCGCGATTTGTCGCAACAGGTTTTGTCCGGGGTTGTCTGCAGACTGTTTTCGGTATTTTAACTTTCATACTAATTACCACAAGTTACAGTCCTTTTTTTGGTCAAATTTCAGCTTTCGTATCATATGAAGAATTATGGAGATCTCGGAGGGTGTTATGACGCCAAGCTACGCCACACCTCCTCGATCTCCATTATTCTTCATAAGGTACTCAGCCTCATTCATTAATTGTTGTGTAGTTAAGGTAAAAAAAAAAACCACTGCAAAAACCGTGTACGAACAATCTTGCTCAACGTCGGATCCAAAAAGATCGTGATCAGTCAAAATAGATAAAATTGAAAACGTTGCAGTCAAGAAGACGTTTGCAGGGGCTGATCAAACAACGTGAAATACAGTTAAGTTGCGATATTTCGACTGGCCAATACCAGTCTTCATCAGGTTTATTGAGATATCACGAATTTACAGAAATACATATGAAGTAAAATAATGACCGGGAAATTACATAATATGACGTGGTATGGTGTGGCTACTTAAAAAGACAAGATAACAAAAAAATAAAAGATATACTATATATAGTTACAGTTCATCACGTTTATTGATGCCCATTTTTAAGTTTTTCAATAGGAATCAAACGCATATGATTGTCGGATTGATTACAGGTAAGAAAGTGTTCTGAAACTGCAGTGTGGATGTAATTACCAGTAGGGTTGAGTATAGGTCGTCTGTGTTCATTAAAACGGTGTTTGAGGCGACGTTTAGTTTAATTCTCCAATATATTGTAGATTACACAGGCGACATTGAATCAAATAGATAACATTAAAAGTTTCACAAGTGATATGAGATTTGATGTGGTGGGTCTCACCTGTAGAATGAAAAGTGTATTGATTACGGCCATGTTCAATATAAGGGCAGGTGGTACAATTCCTGTTGTTGCACCAAAAGGAACCGGGGGTGGGTCGGGAGTTACTGGTATCGGTGCTGTTAGTAAGCTGGGCTCTAACCAGGATGTCGCTAATATTTTTACAACGGCGATAAGCTACTAACGGAAGGTTTTTAAAAGTATTTCTACAGCGATCTGATGAGTACAACACGTTAGAATGCTTGTGAATGATATACGCAAGGTTGGGTAATGCTGGATTATAAGTAATGACGAAAGGGGTGGTTTCAGTCTGAGTCTTGGGTTTGTTTGTAAGTGCGTCAGTGCGAAGAATGTCGGAAGCTCGTTGTATTTGGGTCTTAAGAAACGTTTTGTCGTAGCCGCGATCAGCCAGGTAATCTATAAGTTCGTTAGTACGTTGTTTGTAATTGTCTGGGTTAGAGCAAATGCGACGGAGGCGAAGTGCGAGGCCAAAAGGAATAGAGCGTTTGGTATGTTGAGGGTGGCAGTATGAAACTAGTAAATACTGGTGTTTGTCAGTAGGTTTAGTATAAAGCTCCGTTTCTATGGAGCCCTCCTTGACTGAAACCATGACATCAAGGAATTAATTAACCGTTGGAATAAACATGTGCGTGCCTGTTAATCGTTTATTTCAATTGATTACTGTGCTTTCAAGCATTTTCCGTAGTATATAGAACTTTTTGTTGATTTTCAAGCATTAAAAAGACCTTTCACTTAAAGGTAAATTTTTTGACACTGGTGTAATTGTCATGAAATGCGCAGTTTTTTTTGTCTTGAAAAGAACTGCCATCGCGTGACAACATGTTTTTGCTGTAGTTATGATCAAAGAGGCTTTCCCTACACATCCTATTTCTACCCTACCCTATTTTCTACCATTTTGGAAGTTCTTCGTTAATATTTGTTCTTTTGGCCTTGGTTGTCGTAGAAAAATTAACGGTTTTATCGGCATGGATTCTATTATTTTGTCAAGTAGATAAACGGGCATGTTCTAAATTGTTCTAATTACACACTCAGTAAACGCGGGTATTGTTAACTCGCTAAAGTTTACTTTTCCAGTTCTGCTTTAACTACATGAAGAAAGTTGTCAATGCAACTGAGCATCACTACCTCTAAGGGGCATTTTTAACTGCTCCGTTGCATTCTTGAGTCCTCGTGCATGACCTGCACACCACGCACTATAATTAGTTTTGAACAGGATAGTTGTCCTGCGCAAATATAATAAATACCCACCCAGTTGCCCCATTACTCTCTGTGCTAAGCTAAGTGCGAACTATTGATATGAAAAATATTTTATATTCTCATTCAAATAAAATTTCATTTACACAAGAAAGTCAAGAAAGGTGTTGTACTTAGCCTCGTTTTGAAAGTGAGTGTTTTTGTAACTCGAAAGTGGCCTACGCGTCCCGAAATTGTTTCTGGGATCGTTACTGGGGACACGCAGGTCCGCGCTATTGGCCAATTTTTCCTCTGCCCTAGGAGTCTTAACAAAAGTTCGCGCGGGCTGTTTCCTAGCTTCTCGTTTCTAAAGTGGCGAATTTAAGTTGAATTGTGCACAGTGGCAGATTCAGATAATCAAGTAAGTGAGGTCCATTTACCCGGACTCTAGCTACGGAAAGAGGGGGGCTCGGCTTGGAAAAAAATTCTTTCTAGGCTCTTCTGGTTTCAGTTTGGCAAAAAAATAAAGATGGGGCCTGGGCCCCTGGACCGCTCACCAAGATCTGCCATTTGTGTAATCAGGTAGACCTTTGCTTCATTGTTTTTGTTTTCCGATTATAGCTGTAGTCACCTTTAAACCCTAGAGGTAGCACCCTGTCGGTATTTTCGTTTTTTTTTATCAGTAGCTAGTTATTATGGGTTTACGTTCCCTTCTACGGTGTGTTTCTCCAGAATTGCCATGAGTGGTTGTTGTTTTCCATGTGCTTCAAGGTCACGGAAAATCCGGTTGAAAAGTAAATGGAACACGTCTTGTCGGGTCGTTCCACCATATCCAAAAGGACGGCTTTGCCGCTCGTATACTCACATATCGCGCTCGCGCTCAGGTTATCAAGCAAAAGAGAGACTGCTCACAGTCGGACCCCATTTAGATTCTGTAATACAGACATGAATTTTTTTCCACTGGAGATGTAATCTGGAGTCAATAAAGATTTTACAAGGGTAATTTTACCCAGCGAGCAGAGGTTTCTCTCTTGCAAGGCTTTTAACGCTTAAGAAGTCGTTCGCGTGGTTTGTCTGTCGCGTTGTTTGTATTTTTTACGCTCTGAAAAAACGAACTACACGATATATTGTAGTATAGTATAGTATAGCCATTGTTTTGACACTCTAAAGTCTATGATAGAGGTTAAAATTTTAAATTTACACTCGTAAAAGTTTCATTAAAATGACCCCTGGTGACAGACCATTCACAAACTCAGAAGTGTTGGGGTCACTGGGTGTCTGGGTCGGGTAACAATGTGCAAGCTATCAAGTCCAAAACCCCTGATTTACGAGATTATATATGCAGCACAGACATGGATATTTTTGCACTCACCGAAACCTGGCTGACAGAAAAAGATGTCGCTGCAAAACTGGAGTTTATACCGACTGAGACACATAAGTTTGTACAGTAAGATCGGCTAGGGCGTCGCGGGGAAGGAACTGGGTTGTTAACATAGACGTAAAAAAGATCGATTCGGGAGAGAGAACTTCATTCGAGTTTTCAGAGTGGAGAGTCACGTATACGTCATTTAGGGCTAAGCTGATCATCATTTATCGCCCTCCGTACTCTCAGGCACATTCAGTCACCCCTTGTGTATTCTTCGAGGAATTCAGTTCAAATCTCGAGTCAGTCATTTTGTCTCCAGAGCCGCTTATATTACCTGGTGACTTTAATTTTCATATGGATGTCGCAAGTGATGTGGACGCACAAGTATTTTCAAATTTACTAACGTCGATGGGTCTTAAACAGCATGTGACTGTACAAACACATATCAGTGGTCACACACTTGATCTATTGATTACTCGTGAGAATGATCCTGTCATCTGTATAGCCTGCGTAGCATGGAGAGATTGGGGCGGGAGCAACTGGTTTTTATTTTTCTCGCGGCTTCTCCGCTCGTTCTCGCACGCTTCGCGCGCGAAATTCGCGGCTTCGCCGCTCGTGCGCCCGGCTCGACAACTGACCGCCATGCTACGCAGGCTATCATCTGTAGCGCTCCCGTGGCTGACCTATGTCTCTCAGATGATGCTTCTATGTTATGCACTCTGAGCCAGGCTCGCTTAAGCCTGGTCATGTTGTTAAGGAGATATCATATCGCAAGTTAAAGTCCATTGACTTTGATCCACTTCGCTCAGATCGTGAAAAGTCGAAATTGTGTACGAGGGACTTTTCTAATTCATGCGAGTTGACGTCGTCTTATAACTCCAGGCTTTCATCCCTCCTTGAAAAGCACGCTCCTCCTCTGAAGAAGACGGTGATCAGTAGGCAACGCGTTCCCAGGTTTAACAGTGATATCAAGGGAGCAATTAGGGCGAGAAGAAGGGCTGAGAGAAGATGGCGTAACACTAATTCCCAGCAGGACCTTCCTGCTCTCAAGGTTGCAGGTAATCACACTACATATCTCATGAACAGTGCACATCGTGATTACTTCTCTAATTTTATCGCTTAGAACTGCTCGAACCAGAGAAAGCTGTTTCGTACAACCAATTCATTACTATTTAAGCCGATCTCGTTTCCAGATCACATACCGATGATCTGGCTAATAATTTTCGCAACTATTTTGTACGGAATTAAGATTGAACGTATCAATGATTCACTGGACGCTCTTCAGTCATCTGAGCCTTTCGACGGCGATGGCGATGCGTCCGCAGATAATATGGGCGCATGCGCAAACTGTGTTGATCCTGATCCGTGCGAATGTGTAGAGTTCCCAAGCTTCAAGACCTTGACACAAGACCAAGTTTCTTTGATTACTGGAAAGGCAGCCATGAAATCTTGTCCTTTAGATCCTGCACCTACATCTGTGGTTCTACAGGTTCTTGATGTGTTGTTACCGGTAATCACCTGTATGATCAATGTCGTTTGAATCTGGTCTGTTCGCAGAGGAATGGAGGCAGACCCCCGTATTACCCACGTTAAAGAAGTGTGGTCTAGACATCGCGTACAAAAACTTTCGTCCAGTAAGCAATCTCCCGTATATCTCCAAGTTATTTGAAAGAGCAGCTGCTGATCAATAGTCCAGTTTCGAATTAAAAATTACCGCTGAATATAAACATTAACTACACATTCATACAGGGTTAGCCTCAACGTAAAGTAAAATATTCAGAAATTCTGGCAAGAAAGTGTTTGAAATTTGAATATACACAATAGACAGAGTAATAAACAGGTCTTTTTCTCGTTGGAGTTTGTGAATATATTACTTCAGATCGAGGCTAAGGCTGTAAAAAATGCGTCTTCACTTCTTTAATTCAGCGGTCTTAGCGAACTCGAAAATGGACTATTGATTGATCATATGACGATCAATGGTTTGCACCTTGAGCTACAGTCGGCCTACAAGAAACATCATAGTACTGAATCAGCGCTTTTAAAAGTGAAGAACCATATCTTATTGAACATGGATGCGCAGAGGGTGACCTTGCTGGTTCTTTTAGATCTCAGGGCAGCTTTCGATACTGTACGCCACGACATCTTGCTGGATCGGTTGAGGTCAAGACTTGGTGTGACTGACCAAATTGGTTTACATCGTACCTCTCCGACCGTACACAGCGTGTTGCAGTTAATGGAGGGCTGTCAGATACCTTTCGGCTCGCGCAAGGGGTGCCGCAAGGGTCATGCCTTGGCCCGCTATTGTTAACGGTATACACCAGCGAACTATTCGATATAGTGGGTCGACACTTGCCAAGCGTGCACTCTTACGCCGATGACACGCAATTGTAGTTGGCGTTCAGTCCAAACGTGAAGGGTGATGACGCTAGTGCGGTAGGGGCACTGTGTGATTGCATCATGGATTTAAGAAAGTGGATGACTAGACACCGACTTATGTTATATGATGATAAGACTGAGTTTTTGCTCTTTGGTACCAAGCAACAGCTTGCTAAGGTTGACATTAATAGTATTACTGTTGGTGAGTCTGTTGTGAACACAAAGCCGGTTGTCAGGAATCTAGGTTCCTGGTTTGATTCTCAACGTAGTATGTCTACTCATATTAGCAAGCTCTGTAGCTCAGCTTTCTTTGATCTACATAACATCAGTCGTATTCGCAAGTTCCTAAGCCCTGGGGAAACTAAGTCCTTGGTGTATGCTTTCGTTTCTTCTCGCGTTGACTACTACAATAGCCTTTTGTATGGTCTACCTGCCTCGCAGCTTGTTTGTTGCGCTCCGCGCTTCAGCCATATTACACCACTGATGTATGAGCTACATTGGCTTCTACATTGGCTAGTAGGAGTAATCGGAGCTTAGGAGAGTGCGTTCGATATGTTTGTTAGGCGTACAGGTAGCAGTTGAGGGGGAAGGGTGGATGGTTCTTGGGATCGATAAATATGATTATGGCAAATTTTGAATGTAAGGGTTTCTTACCCTTACCCTCTACTCTAACCCTTTACCCTTTTATATACCATTTTTCACGAAAAAGGTACCCCTTTCGTATATCTTCTATTGACAAATGGTAGCCCTTTCACATTTAGAACTTTGCATCCCTTTTAACTGCTGTAAATGCACTGTCGTTTAGATAGGAATCAATCACAAAAATTAAAGGTTTTCTCGACTTCTTAAAGCCACATAATTCATCTGTTAGCCCTTTGAGCCCTTTCACAGACCGAAATGGCAGATTTCCCGACTCTTTCGTATGCTTCAACGAGTAAAATCCCTACCCTTTCATATAGCCGAAGCCTGAAAAAGATACCCTTTTCGGCAGGAGCCTTCCCGTACAGGCCATCATAGGGAGTAGACCACCACGAGCAATAATTTTCTCTGTTATTTTTAAGAGCTACAGAAATACACTGAATTTACATTTTAAGCTTCCACATCTGAATTCAAATTTCGCACTAACCCTGAGTTATCTTAACCCGGCTCTGAACAACCCGGCCCAGGTATTGTTAAAAGGCAAACAGTTGACAACGTTTCAGATTTAATTATTAATTTATTTACTGGGAGTTCCACATGAAGACAATTACCGAAAAATAGTATAAAGTGAAACCGTTACTGGCAAGTCTTCTTAAATTGTGTTGATATTATATACTCAAAACCACATTTTTGTGGTGAGCGCTGGGAACAATGAATTGTGTTTAAACACTGATTCACTTGCACCACGCCTCTCAATTTCACACGTTTTAAGGGAATCATCAGGGCCTTCAGTGGAATGTGTGTGCGGCTCACGTCAATACCTTTTCCAGTAATTTAGTCGAGTGTGTTGATTTCAGCGACTTGAATGGCGTTACTGTGGGCTGGTTTATAAGTTTTTCCGAATAAATAACATAGAGCTAAAATGTTCGTTTTTCCGGTGCAGAAAATATCACAAGTAATCATGAAATGGCGCCTCCGAGCTTCACATCTCGGTAGATCGATTTACTTTGTGGAACAACGGCCGCCGAGCTTCAAAAGTCGGTCGATTTACTTTCAGGCACAACTTCCGCCGAGCTACATAACTCGGTAAATTTACTTTGTGGAACAACGGCCGCCGAGCCAAACAACCCGGTTTGATGCATACAGCAGGAGCCGCACACATTTTTTAAAGACAGTGACGAACCATGCTAAAAAATGTGAGTTGAAGGCTTAATTCAAAGTAAAATTAACGGCAAACTTTTGAAAGATGAACGCTTTGGAAGATTCAACAAACACAGAACGATAGGAGACCTTCAGCAAACTATTGCAATGTGTACGCTTTACGAAGATTCAGCAAACTTTTAAAAGATGAACGCCTTACCAAGACAGAATAGCAGACCTCAGCAAACGTTTGAAAGATGAGCGCCGAGGGCACACGAATCACCAAGTGAGTTAGCGCGTCAAAGTGAGGCAAAACGTAAGCAGGCGCCTCATAGCGAGGCAAATGTGTGTCAACACAAATGCAATCTCAAAAAAACTTCGCTTATTAATTGTACAGAGCACCCAATAATGCACAGAACACCTACCAGAAATTAGGGGTTGCGTTCTCGTATAAAGTCGTTCCAGAACAAAAGTTAAGAGCCCTCTTATGTAACCTTGCCCTGGTGTCTCTTTTGGGGGCTTCTGCATCCCGAGCTGTCCAAGAGACACTTCAATTTTGTTTTTGAAGACAAAATTAAATTCGAGTAAAGTGACAAAATGTCTCTCGGTTTTCTGCCGCAAATTTTTACATTGTAGATGAGAGGTGAAGGAAAAACAACGACCGTTCCCCTCCTGTATTTTATTGCAACTTTTCATCAGTATATCCGTTTTACAAAGTAAAAATTTCAATACTAATCTACAAACAGCCTAACAATCGGCTGGTGTTCAGTCTAATTCTTATACGCTGATTTTAATTAAATAGCTAAATGAATACATCTAACACACTATTACTACAGCAATTGATTAAATAATTATCAAATTAAATAATGATAAAATTAAATAATGATAAAATTAAATAATAATAATAATAATCTTGATCAAAAACGATTTCTTAAAACATAAGCAAGCGAATATTAACGTTAAAAGCCGTCGTTTCGGTATCATATAAATTAATTAAATAATGAACAACTAAATACATACATTCAGCTTGTTATTTCTACAGTAATTGAAAGAAACAATTATGTGATTAATTTCTTACAACGGGGAAAAAACAAATGACATTTTTACTTATTATAATCGTTACGTTAAATTCTAATCTTTGCCTCTTTCATTACAAAAGTTTCGTCATTTTCTACTCCTTTTACATGATTATTTTCTCGTGTAGAACTGAAAGCAAACTCCGGTATTCCAAAAAAACATTATGATTAAATCATCACTTTATGGCTTTGCTGTCCTCCGCAACCCAGACGCAGCTTTATCGGACGGAGGATTTTTGTGGGCTAAAGTTTGCAACTAACCTTCAACAATCATGCACTATTTTTTCGAATTTTTTAGATGAGCACGAAGCGGACGTGGAGCGCGCGCGGCATTCCCCGTTGCGCGTGTCTCGCGCTGAAACGTGTTGATTATTCAGCTGAAAGCTGTTGAACTACGGTTTTCTTTCAAATTATGTTGTTGCTTTTGGTGAACAAATAAAGTAGTCCCGTTATTAACTTTAAGTGAAATATAGTGACGTTATCAGCTCCACGTAGTTTACCGGCACTTAATATACATACCGAATCCGGCAATGATATAATAAAATCACAATTGGCAGGAAATAAACTAGTCTCGATAACCATGAAAGCCGACGCCCGTTTTCCTTCGCTCACACCAAGTTAGCTTCAGCTTGTTATGAGGAGAATACGATTGCGAACTCTTCAAGCGGCTGGAAATCGAGCCTAGAGATACACATGAAATCATCATTTACAGTCAATGTTGATTCTACCAAGAAACGACAAACCAGCTAAAGGTCAGAGCGAGATTCAAACCCACTAGTCTGTCGTGAATGACACTTTGAAAGAAAGCTGGCAATTCTGGTGAGAGCTGTTCGTACTCATTTCTCTTGGCGCTATTCATCATACTGTGATACGATACTTTAGATTTTACTCGAAGCCTGTGGACTAAACTGCTATGGACTGAGGCCATACAAATGAAAGACTACTGAGCAGCACCTATTCAATTCTTAATCTTCAAGATTATCTATGACTCTTGAGTCTCCAGTGGGTAAAATCATAAAGCGTTTACGTTCTAATGAAAGCTACGGAGTAGTACTTTCCTATGGTGCTATTCAAATGCTGTATCGATGCACTACAAGGTGATTCTAACTTGTGACGGCTTGCGAAGTAAAAAGGTGAGAGCTTTTGACTTATTTTTTGCAGTTGTCTGTTGTTGGTGGTGCACAGCTTCCTTTTTTTTGTTTATTATTACTTTTTGAGTCTGCGCACACATCTTAGTTCGAAAGTGCATGCATCTGCATGACCTTAGCCGAACGCTTTTGAATACATTTGGAACTAACTGACTCATAAGCTGCTTCGGTTCTAAACAGTACGGGCCAACTATTTCTGCACTTGATCTATCGCTTAGGTCAAACTATGATTTCATATGATAGAACTGGCAATTAGTTATCTTAGGAACTAGCTTACATTACGAACATTTGTGATGAGGCCGATTAAGCGACTTTGGCCCCTGGGCCGTCTACCACATTTAACAACTTTTTCTCCCAATCCTGTTTTATCTTAAGCTTCTCAAAGTCAAGCAAATGCTTGTTTCTCAAAGGACCAGGCAACTTCTTTTTCTTTAACTTGTCGATCGCCACAAGAATAAGCGAAGAATCTCGGCTGTCTGCCTCCCTTTGGACGGCCATGTGAAGCTCTTCTCGACAGAAGTTGCTGACGAGGTAGTTGTCGGACAAGACAATCAGAACTTTGCGGCTGCCATAGACGCTGTCCGCCATGTTTTGGACGATAGGCAGTCCCAACTCAAAGTCTCGGGTGTGAATGCTGTAGGATACGGAGTGCTTTTCGAGAATGGGGATCAGATTTTCATTGATCCAGGCCATATCTTTGGAGCTATAGCTGACGAAAAGCTGATGGCTCTTAACGCCTTTTTCAAAGTCATCTGCGAAACAAACAATCAAAAAACAATTGTTTATTATTTATTATGTATTATTATGTGCTTTCCTTTTTTTAACAAATCGACTTCTTTTTTCCCGACATACTGACTGCTTTTTTCCACTGTTAGCACTTTCCTATATATACACTCGAGCCACTAGGATTCCTCCTTATGATTCGCCTTAAAACAATTTGAGATACACATGATATAATTATTAAATACTGATAGGAATAGTTCCCTGTGCCGAGAAATATTGCTCAATCATTGATCATTTATTTCACAATACACAGGCCTACGAAGCAGTTTTTGTAACACTCTCCACAGTAAGATTATAAGTGTAGTGGTGTAAATTGGATGTATAAAATGTGTGATAAGAATGTATCGCTATATATAAGAATACAAGCACTAAAAATAAATTAAGAGTGGCGTAAATAGCAGTTCTGACAGTTAGAATTACTAAGCAGTTCCTCTATGTTTGTTTTTCTAATTCTAGATCTGAACGATGAGATATTTCTAATTTCTTTCGGAAGTCTAGACCATAGGTATGGTCCAAAATTGCTCCGAATGTTTACCATATCTAACAGTGTTGAATCTGGATATTATTCTCAGTTCTTAAATTGTACTTCAGGGCCGAGTTGTTCTGAGCTGGGTTAAGATAACCCAGGGTTAGTGCGAGATTTGAATTAAGATTTAAAAGCCTAAAAAGCATTTCAATTTTAATTTTTTTGTCTACAAGTTGATGATTGGAAGCTCTAAAAATAGTAGAGAAAATTATCCGAGAAAAAGCTTTTGAACACAAGAAAAAGAAACCTGGGTTAAATTTAACCCCGGTTTAAGCGCTAATCGGTCTTCGAACAATTGGGCTCAGGAACTTAGTTACAAATATGTAGGCAATAGACCCATATGATATTTGAAAATAGTTATTGAAATATCATGCAGTCGCCTGTTATGAAATGTGCTGAGATTGGATTTCCATCACAGTTCATTATATGTAAACGAGTTACTAGCTATTGAACAAAATACGGTGTGCCCTTTCCTGAAGCTTTTATAATTTTCCCTCGTCTGATTTCCCGCAAAAGTGCCATATAGTGTGATAGTGTTGGGTTAGGTAATATGGCAGGGGCACCCAATGATGGTTTCCTCCTAAATACATTGAAAACAATGAGTCTTTCTGAAACTACAAGGGCGTGAGGGTTGTTTTTCCGAAAATTGTAGGTGAAATTTGGCGTATAACGAAAGTGAGACGTTTTCTGATTCTTAATGCCAAATTTTTGAATCCGAAAATTTTAGGTTCCTTTTTTCAACAAAAAATAGCCTAACTCGGGAAGTAAAATGTGGAAATTAAGCGTCAGAAAATCGTAGGGAATTTATACGATATGCTTCGAAAATCGTACATGAATGGAACGGTAATCTCGAAATTTTTAGTCGTCCTCAAGTAATAGAAAATTCTAGGCAATATTTGCTTCTCCGAACAGCTAGTTTACAGAAAACAGTCGTTGGGTGCCTCTGGTATGGTAGCCTTATATTTGTGTAATTTAGGTAATTTAGCATTTATAGGAATATGTAATAGGAATGTGTAATATGTTTACAGAATTATGTAATTTAGGCATTGAAATTTGTTTCCTGTCACCTGTTGAAACGAGTGACAAGGATGGCCATGAATTGAAAGCTTAAAAAGTTAAAACCAACATTTTTAAGTTTTGATGCTCTGCCCGCAAAAATCGACAAAAAATATTATGGTTAGTGCTCTCTGATAAAATTTGTGTGGCATCTTCTTCTTATATCCATCTGAGCGTTTTTGTGAGGCATCAAGTAATGATCTTAGCCAAGTATCCTCGTGACAAAGACCCTATAGAGTGTTTTCATTCACGTGGCCAGCATCTATGCAAATTTATTGGAACAAAAGAAAGTGTTTGCATAAGAAAAGAGTTCAACTCCCAGAGGATTGGTTTGGGACACCAACATGGCCGCCGTTTCATTGTTTTGGGACACCAACATGGCCGCCGTGACGTCATGTGAAAACACTCTATTTCCTTTGCTTGATAAATGATTGGATGTCATCTTACGTTTACACGCGCGGTATCCTTTGCCAAACTTTTTGCTAATAAAGTGATACGCCGTAAGCACGATCAAAACAAGGCCAAATCCAGACGTTAAAATCGCAGTCGCGGTAATCCAATGGCCAGCTGACTCGTTGTTATCATGGGCGGTTGCTACTGCTACTGCTACTGCTCCTGTATCTGCTGGTGCTACTCGAAAACAATTAGAAATCCAGATTCAGTTAAACGTGGCTATTAAACAAATGAGCGAATGTTTGGATGACGCTCGATATACCAAGTCAATTTATGCACTATTCTCTAGTTCTACTGTGTGAGGTTTATTGTGTTATTGTGTAAGAGATAACGATCATTTTTGTGTTCTTTGTCACGTAACTCGAGACTTGCTATTCGCTAGGTATATCGTGCACCAGCCGAATGTTTATCAGTACCGAGCCTTAATCTATCTAGCTAGCCTAAGCCAAAGACGGAATTAAACTTCTAACAACGGTTAGATTTTGTACCAGTCAGTTACAAAATCTCCCACTCCCCGGGCATACCCCAAACATTTTTTCCGCACAGTGGGGAATTTGACCCAAAATGAGGCCCGCCCTGTAGGGCTTGACTTTCGTGTCAAAATGCTGGTCAGCGTTTTGCTCAGCGTGTACATGACGTTCAATGATTATTGAAGTCATTGCTCCTATATTCACTGTTTTGTTGGAGCATTTGAGAGCCTTTGAAGCTACCTGCAAACGGACGCAACATTGTTGGAGCAACGTTGTTAGCCAACAACTCCCAACATTGCGTCCGTTTGCACAGAGCTTGAAAGAGCCCGTTAAATGTGGGCTTTCTGAAATGAACAATGTTATTGGAATGAACAAATCTCCATGACACAGTTTTCCTAGACTTGAGATATTTCGGTTGTGTGTAGGGGGAAATTTAGATTTGAATAAACGGTTTGACACATGGGGAAAATTTTTGACCATGAATAGTCGCTAATGGAGTGGGGGATTTGACACTCTTTGAAGCGCTAGCCGGTTGGGTATGTGACCATCTAAACTACCAACATACCCAGGAAATTTAACCAAAACCTTTAAAAAAAAAAGTCAGATTCCCAGGGGTCTGTGCGGGGGCATGGGTAGTTTTGTTATTGACTGGTACATTATGTCTGCGACCCTACGCAGGCTTCTAGGGAGCTTAAAGGGTGGTTTCCATATGATCGCTACGATTGCTACGCTCGCTCTGATTGCTGCGATCGCTGAGAAAATAAAGTTCAGCTATCGCAGCGATCATAGCGATCATATGGAAGCCTGACTTTTCAGAGATCGCAGCGACGACGATCGCTGAGATAGAACCACCCTTTCATGTAGTTTAACAAGTAAAGTCCCTACCCTTTCAACGATTTTTTGCCTGAAAAAGGTACCCCTTTTGAGCCCCCCCCCGTATATGCCATTTGGGGAGTATCCCCCGGGATTAGACCTTTCTTCATTGTGCTCGTAAGATGCTGGAAAGTTGCTCACTAGAATGCCAAAAAGTTGCGATCCTAAATTTCAAAAGTTGGCATTGAAATAAACATTAATTAAAAGCTTTATTTTTCGTTCTTCACAATAATTACTATCATCGGTCAACAAAAAAACATAAAAAAATAAAAAAAATAAAAAAATTACAAAAAATCGTTGACTTTTTCGTGTTTCATATATGCTTTAAACCGAGGGGTCACTAAGCCTATATTTGGCTCAAAAGTTGCTCAGAAAGGCAAAATGTGCTCCAAACGCCAAAAGTTGCTCAAAAGTTGCCGAGCACAATCGGAAAAGGCTTACCCGGGATTAATTAATAATTATTTCTCGAGCCCGAATGAGCTATTGACTCAGAGGCCATGAGGGCGAGAAGAATAATTGTTTTAGCAAAATCCAACTAGTTGGTCAAAAATATCAGACAAAACAATTTTAGCTAGCAAAACGCGATTCAGCCGCCACTGTTTGGGTTTTCACAACCGGCGCTTTTCGCTACCAGTGGCCTATAACATATATCCTAGTAGTAGCTCAACCAATCAGAACGCAGCATTGATAATAGACCACTAGCTGGATTTTACTAATACACTATATTTTGTTAATTTGTGAAAATGTGTCTTTAGACTGGAGCAGGATGCAACTTGTTACTGACACCCGGTAATTACTTTTGAATTCCCATAACAGTCCAGCGACTCACGGGCCGACTCAGGGTGGTTCTGTTTTCTTCCATTGTTTCGTGTTATTTGAAAAGCGATAAGATCTGGATACTATTTTTATTTTTGGCCAAACTGAGGTGGATCCGGGGAAGGGTCTGGGGCCCCGGCCTTTTTTTTGACCAAACTGAGGCCCCCTTCGAAGAAATTTTTTAAGACCACCCCCCCTTATCTGAAGGTCTGGATCCGCCACTGCAATTAGTCCCATTGCAACACTATACTTAGTGACCACCCCTTAACATCACTGACCTGTTGAAGTTGAGTTTGTAGTCTTTTGTGTCGATGGTGTCGAAGAATCTGCAAATAAAGTTGATAAAGGGGAAACATCCTCAACATATTACTTTCATCGATATAAAAAAAGGAAATTTAAAATGAAAAGAGAAACAAATACGATTACTAACATAGGTAAACATATGAGTTACGGTGTTGGTTCTTATATATATGCAGGTGTTTAATGTAGTTGACATTACAACGTCCCTTTTTCTTTTTTTTTTTCGGTCAATTGTATCCTTGGCCTTTGTATGACTCTTGTGTAGCTCTTTGAAATTTACAGACTCATATTGATTTCATATTGGGGAGATAAAAACAGAAAAAGCAAGATTCCATGCACTGATTCAAATCGATTTACGCTGCTTTGATCAAAACACTCTCAGTTTCAAGAATTTTTTTAACTATAAGGAAAGATGTTATAAGAAGGTTTAATTTCCTTTATTCCTCTTGCACTTTTTACATGCAATTCATTTTAACAGCCGGAGAATGATTTTGGAAATGAATACGGATATTTGTAAATAGGGACTACGTCAGCGCAGAAATAAATTGTAGGCAAATTTCTGTAGTTGTGGATCCTTCTGCTATCTTGATTCCAGCGTTCACTTAATGCAACTTGCTTGTTTTTAGACTGAGCCTCTCAATAATTTCCCCACAGTGATTTGTGTCTGTAAAATCGTTTCCAATCAAAGATCTACTTGTATCGATTGCATTAGGATGAGTTTCATGTAGTGAGGGAGAGCTAATCCAAAAGAAGATTTGTGAATGATAAACATGTGTCTGGCAAACCCTCCAAGAGCTTATACACTGTTATTCGCCTCTCAAAACGCAAGTCCACGCTTACCGAGTGTCTTTCGGTCCATAATTTTGGCCAAACTCGAGAGTTTCTCTTTGGTGGTCAGAGTTTATGACGTTTGTTTAAGAGAACAAAATGAGACAAAGAAATGTAAATTGCATTTTTTTAATAGCTTCAAAACAGCTGCTTCACGGAATGTCACTGAACAGACAAAACGCAAAACAGTGAAGTATAAAGGTGCAGTGAATGTCACAAAATCAACCCAAACGGTCCCTTCGGGCATTTAGTTCTGTTTTACGTCATCCCTAACTATTTCATTCTTGGGGAAGTTCAGGGCTGAGACGTCATCATTACCCAAGGATTCCGTGTTTTTAACAAATCGAGTGTTTTTTCTAGTATTCTTACTGCATATTTCCGACTGTAAGTAACATCATCAACATATTTCTAACACGGATTTAATGTTAAATGTAATCTGTTTTACAGGTGTTTCGCTGATAACAGTTCGAAAATGCTCAACCCCTGATAGCCCCTGAGTTCGAATAACTTTGACTTGAAATTAGGCTTGATTACCAGCCGCTGTTTGGGAAATGAGCCCCCAAAAAGTCCCTTCTCGGGAAGGAACATCAGAGCAGACCAAAGAGTGGGCGTCACTCATCACGAGCCCCAGCGCTCCGGAAGTTAAAAAATTCGAACCGTCTGGTTGCTATGAAGTGACGTAATCATCCAGTTGAGTATCCATCACCGTAACACTTTTGCGGTCAACTACCGCAGCGCTCGTAAAGTACTTTAATTAAAACCGTGTTCAAAACCCTGTAGCAAGTCTGTTTATTTTTGAGTCGATTAATGCACTGCTGACTTTCACGAGGTCAACTTTTGCATAAATTATCAAACATTATGTTAAGCGGGAAATCTACCTATGGTTAGCGGGAAAAGCAACTTCTATAGTGGCGCAAGACAAATGTTTCCAGAGTCGAGGATGTGCTCACAAACTATTCACTATGCGACGAAAGCAGAAATCACTGGCATGATAGCTGCATGCGATGGTAATTTTGTCAATCCAGGTCGCGCCCGTTTTCGCTCGAGAACGCTGTGACAACCTCGTTTGGCGCGCTTCTCAATACTTCCAAAACATGTTGTAATCGGTAAGTAGACTTAAGCACTTCGTATCGCCAAGCCATTCGAATCAGTGTATACCCAATTCTTTGTCTGAAGATTCTCGCAAACACACATACTAAGTAAATCTGGATGGATGAGGAAATTGTCTCCCTAAACGCAGCCAGATTATATTTTGAAGGATGGCGACACAATCTCGGGGCACAATTCAACGTGTCTTAAAGGTCAGCCCTAATTTATAGTTCGTAAGAGTATAAATTGCGATCTCTCTATTTTCGCTTAAGCTTTCTTTGATTAAACTTCAGTAGAAACAAAACAACGCACACATGACATTCTCCTGCATGAGACACAATCGGCTGAAGGAAATATCTGTTTACAAGTCGGGTAAATTATCCATTCTTGCGCACCGCAAAATCAGCTAAAATCATTCGCTGGAAACCTGGCGTCTTATTAAGCCTTAGCGCTTCTAAGAATAACACGTTTAGAACTTTGACGCGTAAAAAACCTGGTTCATCCTGGTTCATCCAGGCATGATGTCATTATGCCTGAGCGCTTCTAGGATATATAACACGTTAAGCATTTCGACCCGTAGCCGTAAAAATCAATGAGGCAGTTGTTCTATATCCTTGCTGGTTCATCCAGGTAGACGTCCTGGCATGATATTATTATGCCTGAGCGCTTCTAGGATATATACCACGTTTAGCATTTCGACCCGTAGCCTTAAAAAAAAATTAGGCAGTTGTCCTATATCCTCTCTGGTTCATCCAGGTAGAAGTCCTGGCATATTATTATGCCTGAGCGCTTCTAGGATATATAACACGTTTCGCATTTCAACCCGTAGCCTTAAAAAAAAAAATTAGGGAGTTGTTCTATAGCCTTTCTGGTTCATCCAGGTAGAAGTCCTGGCATATAATTATGCCTGAGCGCTTCTAGGATATATAACACGTTTCGCATTTCAACCCGTAGCCTTAAAAAAAAATTAGGGAGTTGTTCTATATCCTTTCTGGTTCATCCAGGTAGACGTCCTGGCATGATATAATTATGCCTGAGCGCTTCTAGGATATATAACACGTTTAGCATTTCGACCCGTAGCCTTAAAAAAAAATTAGGCAGTCATTCTATATCTTTTCTGGTTCATCCAGGTAGAAGTCCTGGCATATTATTATGCCTCAGCGCGTCTAGGATATAAAACACGTTTAGCATTTCAACCCGTAGCCGTAAAAAACAATTAGGTAGTTGTTCTATATCCTTTCTGGATCATCCAGGTAGGAGTCCTGGCATACTATTATGCCTGAGCGCTTCTAGGATATATAACACGTTTAGCATTTCGACTCGTAAACGTAAAAAGAAAAAAAAAATAGGTAGTTGCTCCATATCCTTTCTGGTTCATCCAGGTTGAAGTCCTGGCATATTATTATGCCTGAGCTCTTCTAGGAAATATAGTAGCAGTTTGACGCGTAGAAAAAACAAACTCAGCCGTTCATTTTGTAGGAGATATTTAAGCGTTTTTGTCTGTGTTAGCAATATGATCGACTTAATACGCAGACTTTAATAATATGTTTTTTTCTTTGACGGCACTGAATAATTTTAGCCGAAACCTGAGCCGTACATTTGTTGAATGCCGCGCTTTTAATTAATTTCTCGCCCTAGAATGATGACATGATGGCGCGAAAATTGATGCCTCTATCGTATTAGATGCGAAATATGAGGACTTTTAGTCCCCTATCTCAGCTAGATAAACAAATTTTTTTGGGTTGCTAAGACGGTGCGGCTCGTTATTGAATCGAGCAAACTCGCAGTTATTCCACGGAAATGCATATACTGATGTCGTGCTGACCTGTTTTGCCTACGCGTTTCCTGGTATAGCTCTATTTGCTGACCTTTAAACATTGCATGCTTTGAAGAAAAACATGAATTCAAGGACTGTTAGATGCCATCAACGCAGGAAAGGAAGGTAAAGCCCCTGGAAGGTGTGGTATACCTGCGGAAATCTGGAAACATACATGGCGCTATGGAACTCGCCTCTTGGATTTTTCTCAGGGGTAAAAAATTCTGTTCCAAAGCCTGGTTCAAACAAGAACACAAAATAGCCAATTTTCCACGTGCTCAGGGAACTTTTTACTTGACTAGTTCCAGTCCCCTACGCAGGGATATCACCTGGAGCTCACAAGGAGCTCCGGATCCTCAGCTCCTATCTTTAGGACTATGGCTGGTCAGCGACGTTCAATCGATACAATCGTGTTATAGGGTGGATAAGCTTCTGGCCCCTTATACTCCTCTGCACAACGCGTCCCTGCCCATCCTGATTCGGAAAAACTACCTCCGACGGATTGGAGAATTTTGATCGACAAGGAGCACGACATTCCCAACTTTTAGGTATTAAGTGTGTCCAGAAACTCTTCTGTCCAGTGCCCCCAGGACAGCTTTACCAGGTAAAGAATCAGTATCCAACGGCTCCTGGGATCAAACGCCAATTCATCGAGGTTCTATATACTCAGTTGGCGCCAAAAGTCTTGTGAGTCTCTTCACTCTCTGGGGTTAGGCGTCTGATGAGTCTTTGATGCTCGGTTGGCGACAAAAGTCTTGTACATGTCTCCACTGTCTAGGGTTAGGTGTGTGATAAATCTGTTAATAAAATCCAACTAGCGGTCTATTATAAATTCTGCGTTCTCATTGGTTGAGCTACTACTAGGCTATATGTTATAACCCACTAGTAGCGAAAAGCGCCGGCTTTTTGGTCTCGACATTTTTTAAATTCCAACTAGTTGTTTTGTCTAAAACAATTATTCTTCTCGCCCTCATAGCCTCTGTGTCAATAGCCCGTTCGGCCTTCGGCCTCATGGGTTATTGACTCAGAGCCTATTCGGGCTCGAGGAATAATTGTTAAATATTCCGTTGGCCACAGAAGTCTAAGATCTCCTCGACTGACTCTGGATCCAGAAAAAGACGCCCTTTCTGTCCGTTCAGAGAGTACAGCTCTTACACCTTTCTTTCTTGCCAAGAGCTCTAGCCTGCTTCCCTTCTTCTTCTTCTTCTTCTTCTTCTTCTTCTTCTTCTCGAGCTGCATCTTCATATTTGTGCCTAACGTAAGTTACATCTGCATATGCCAACAGCGACGCGTTTACCATTGTATGAATAGATGTGCAAACATCAATTTTCCCAGCAATGCGATAGCACCTTGAAAACTGTCCTCTGGAAAATTCTGGTAACTCACTGAACCATTCTGGATACGTCTTCTTCAAGTCATCCTATTTTAAACCCAGTAACCATGTTCCCTGCATATCCATCCTTCCTCTAGCATCTGTAATGGGTAAAAAAGCATATAAAATTTCTTTCCGAACCTTCGCTCGGTATAGACAACATCCTGCAGGGGATTCAACTTGAAGTTAAACACATCCGTCTCATCATCTTATTGCTTTCCTTATGCTTTCATGCAAGGTAGTTCTGGCCTGTTGCTACAACCAGACCGCATTTTGAAGCCTGTCTTGCCAAGTGGCTCCCTAAGCTACTCTCGAGCTTTAATCGCTTCATCGTTAGTGCTCAATGAAGTCATAATGTCATCCACGTACACCTGTAATAGGATTATGGCTATTGCTAGCGGGTGGTCATTTCTGTTATCTTCTGCATGTTGTCGCACAACGTACTGGGCAAGATAAAGTGAGGCGCGGTCATCGAACATCAAGGTCATTGCTTCATAGAGTGTCTAGAGAGGTGTAACCTCTACCCCCACAGGAAGGGGTGGTGCCCTCCGTCTTTCCTTGCCATGGTAACTTGTGAGAAACTTTCCGTCAGATCTGCTACAAGGGCCACAAGATAACTGCGGAAACAAAAAAGTGCATTTAAAAAAAGACATCTTGCTCAGTTGGTCCAGGCAAAATGCTATTATGGCTCATTCCTACGTATATGGTTACTGAATAGTAGACTATCCTCACTTTCGTAGTCTCTTTGTCTTCTCTCACTACATGAAAATGAGGTGGGTACCAATTGGATGCAATTTGGATGTAACCCTTGGATTCATTCTTTTATACCTTGGCTTCTACCACCTGGCAGTATTTCTCAGCAACCTCCAGTCTTGGCTGAAGGTGTTTCGCAAGAGATAAGTCGGTGTTCAGCAGTCTTTCTGTTTGAACACAACGGCGTATTATCGTCCTTCCATGGAATTGCCACTTCATAGCCCCTCAGCATAACGCCTTGATTGTGCCTCTTTGCGCGCAGCAAGCACCTCCTCAGCTTTCAAGCGCTTGTTTTGATCAGCAATTCCCACAACGTTTTCGTCCCACATCTTCTGCATTAGCTCATCGGCCCTCTTTTCTGGAGTAAAGATCTCATGGTATATGTGTAAACATGGCAAGCCTCATGACACTCGTTTGCTTCATCCGAGACTTTTGCAACTGTTGTCTATGAGAGTGGTTTTCCTTACTCTTACAGGCTCCCCCAGATGTCCTTTGCGATATTCAAGTGGTAAAATGAGTTCCCCATAATAATCACTTCTCAATCAACTTCTATATGTTGAACTGGCTTTATGATCTCCAAGTCGCGATTATGATCTAATTTCTTGCATTGACGGACCAATCAATTGTTTTTATTTCACAAATTTCCACAGAAAATAATTGCTTCTTGTTGTTCAAATTCATACCCTCAAGGCTGGCGAACAGCTACAGTTTTGCTATCCATTACATTCGACTTTGTTCTAAAAGCTGCAACACAGAGTGCGTAAAAACCCAGTTTATCAGCGATCTCCTCTTGAGGAAGGACGACCCAGACCCACCATCAATATGGTGGGTATCATCTGCAGCGCTACCCTTTCAGGGCGTGGCACACTTACCGGTTCAAGTCTTCAGAACCTCAACAGCTCTTGTGATTAGTTGGTACTCCAGGTTATGACGTCTCTCCTGTGGCTTCTTGCAAGGATTGGAATGTATCAGCCGACGATGTTCTCTACTGTGGCATCTAAAGCACAAACCCATCTTCTCTTATAACTGATTACCATCGTTCACTTACAGTTGATTCTTCTAGGTTTCATACAATGTCAGTACATGTTTTTCTTAGCTCACAAAGCATTACATGAGTCTTTGCGTGTTCTTTCTCCTGAGCCACTTCGATTTGTTTGAATTTGACCTGGGTCAAGTCTTAGTTGCTGGTCTAAAGCCTGCTCCATGAATGTTCTCACAGTGTTGCGCGAGTTGTCAAATTGTTTTTATCCTGACTGCTGATATCTCCAGGAACTTATTCATCAGTGACTTTGAAATTAGAACTGGGTTTCCAAATCGTTCAGTCAGCTTTTTATACTATTGCTCAAAAGACTTATCTTTTGGACGTTCAGGGGATAACAAATTTCGCAGCACGCCATATGCATCTGCTACGATAAACGCTAGAAACGTAGCAACTTTGTAATCCGCCTTGACATAATTCGCCGCAAAATACAATTCCACTCTTTGGATATAACTTGCAATATCTTTTTTACCGTCCACATACTCTCCAACTTGACCTACAAGCGCCATCCTCGTCGCCAAAATTGTAATATTCTGGTCTTAAACAACAAAAAGAAACGAACATTTGCTAGTCATTATTTTAATGCAACTGCGCATGTGTAAAACCTGCCCTAACATATAAGCGGTCTGGAACCTAATACTGATTACTCAACCCAGATGTTGGATTCTGATTCCGCTACTGTATCATGTGAAACGATTATGCAGATAAAGGAGGGTGTTACGAGTCGCCGTCCCCTACATGGGTATAGCGACAGAGTTGCTGTCTGGCACCTAGTAATAAATAGCCGCACAAGTAGAAATTTGTTCAGGTAATAGCATGATTTGAAGTGATATTTCGAAATTGTTATACGTAATTTCACGAGCCGTTAGGCAAGTGAAATTTGTGACAATTTTGAAATATCACGAGTGGTGTTTATGCCAAATATCATCTACAAATCATGCTATTATTTGTTTATACTACTACCCGCAAAGGTTTTGTAATTTTCATATGTAGGTATTTCAAGCTGAAATACCACTGCTCTAAGCCAATCAAATTGCAGAAATTTCTCATGTAGTGGTATAAGTATAGGTAATAGCATGATTAGCAGTGATATTTGGCATAAATACTATGAGTGATATTTCAAAATTGTTATACGTAAAATACCAGTACCAAAATACCAAATACCAGTCCTGCAGAAATTTCTTATGTAGTAGTATAGCAGCTATAATTTACACTATAATTATTTCAAAAACAGAAGTAAACTTTACCCTCCTATTGCCCTATCCGTTTAAAAGGAAATTTCAAGTGCACGTATTTATGGAACTCGCTGTCTACCTGTCTGTCGGTAGAGTACGACTTTTCCTTCCCTATTCACAGACCTGAAGGCGGATGATTTAAAACAATAGCAACAACAAAAATATAAAAAACTCATGCACGAACATATAATTTCTTCAATGGAACTCGGCGTGAGTTAAGAAATCACTTGCAAATGCCAAAATCGCTGCTTCATGTCGAACACATTTGTCTCCCAAACATTATATGAAAAGTTGCAGACATAAAAAATACTTTTGAAAAACTTTTAGGCTATTTCAGTTTTCAAAAACCTCAGTGTTAACGTAATAAAAGAACTATTCAAGGAATCTTTATATTTAATCTAGCTGACAAAAGTTGGAAAACCATAAACGCCCAACAGGAACCAGAAAAGTATCCGCTTTATTCGAGTTTTTATAAGTCTTTTACCGACCGCCGTACAGCAAAGATCAAAGTATTAACAGTTTACCTACTACCCAGACCGATTTAATGCCTATTCAAGAACGTTTAAGAAAACAGTCGCCATAGGAGTAAGTGAACTATATGTTGCCTTCGTTTTGTTAATTTAGTCTTTCTTTCGTTACTTTTTAGACAGAGTTGAAGTAGCTTAAATTGAGTTTGTTTCAAGAACCATGTGACTTCGCTTGTATCAACGTTTAGCATTTAGCGGCATTTATTCCGCTTTTTCTAGTTTCATGTATCAATTATTTGATTACACTTATTAAATAGAACATATTTGTACAATTTGATTTCAGATCGAATGAAATTATGCAATTGCGAGTTATTCTTCGGATTTCTAATGAAACACTTAGTTGCAAGCAGTTTCAACCCTTCAAGCTTGTCCTCACATGACATGACTCCTTTTGTATTTGCTGTGTTACTGTTTTGAGCCCTGAGCATTTTCACGACTGGATTGACTATAATGGGCTCGCACATTTCCGGAGTTTTTCGGGTAAGATAGTTCTCCATATTTATGGTTAGAAAACGAACCAGAATGTTTGTACTGCAGATGAAAAGTAAAGTGTTCCTCTTTCCATCTAAAAAATGGGTCAATTCATAAAAATAGAAAGGGACTAAGTTGGGATCGCGAAAATTACATATTTGCCACACAAGTTACACATTTACACAAGTACCGTACCCCCCCCCTGGGTTTTGAGCGGTTATTTTTATGTTTCAATCAATTTGGTGGGGTTTTCCACTTTTTAAATTTGATAAAATTTCGTGACACAAGACCTTTAGATATCACAGGAGTATCAGTACCTTCTTCTGGAGGAGGAAATACTTTCAGCTGGATAATTGAAGACCTGGAATCGTCGGGGTAGTACTCTTCGCAGAGCCACTGACATTTATACTTTCCCTCGTCTGCTTCAGTAACGTTAATAATGGTGAGAATGAAATCTGTTTTGCATTTGGTGTTGGTTTTCCTTTCTTGTATATCATACTTTTCACCACATTTTAATTCCCCTGAGCTGTTGTTAAAATACCACCGTAAAGAATTGTCCCAACAGTCGCTTGGCCTAACAAATGCTAAGCACTTTAAACTGACATTGGAGTAGGCTGTCACCGAAACCCGGGGAGACGAAATCTGCGGAGCCTGGATGATACCTGTATTATATAATAAGAAGATATGATGAGCAAATATCATTTGAAAATCGTTACCATTTTTTTGTGCAACCGTAAGGGGTAACATTCTTACTCTTCCACTTCCCTCCTGTGTATTTGTGACAATTTATGGGGCATCAAAACGCTTTGGAGTTTTTACGTGTTGATTTCGTTTATCCCACTGGTTTCCTCCTTTGCGACTTGTCTCGTCACGCCGTCTATAAAGACGCTCTAACGATGGGTTGATCGGATGAACCCCACTTCTCTTACCTCCCACCAATATGGCCTGTGCTACTAAGGGTTGATTTCAATAGCTATTGGAGGTCTCGTTTTCTCTTTTTAACAATCACATAACACTTTACATTGGAATCTCGATATAACGAACAGCTGAACGAAAACCCAAAGGACTGGCAAAATATGCTCACTGTAAAGAGGTTTTGTTATATCGAGGTTCCTTTTATTTATTGTATAGTCAAACCCCGCTCCAGTATGGACACCCGCTCAATACAAACATCTCATTGTTACGGACAGTTTGCTTTGTCCCTGGGGAAAGAAAGCCCTTCCATTTTCTACCCGCTTAATAAGGTCAACCCGCTAATACAGACTCTTTCTTAGTACGGCCCCTTCAGTGTCGGGATTTACGGGGTTTGACTGTATTATTTCTGGGGCGGAGAGTATCGCTTATTATTAAAAATTGAATCATTGGATAATGCAATTCTAGTGCTTTGATTGGCTTAACGATCATGGTTTATGAGCCGTTATACCATGCTCTTCAAATATGGTAACTGTACGCGTCTGCTCAAAATTATAAAAACAAGATGAAAATCGTTTGGTTTACAAATAAAGTCGGGAAGGTTACTCGATATTTTCTCGGCGTTTTTAATAGAATAGTTATTCCACTCGCGCTTGTTGGATATGAGATGATTATTGAAAACTCGGTGCTACGCGCCTCGTTGGCTAACTACCATGTCATATCTAACGCACACTCGTGGAATAAGTGGAATAATTGTGAATTATACCGTCGACTCCGTTATATAGAGGTTCTACTGAATTTCAGGTGAGAACACTCCTCCCTCATTAATGACTGTCCTGTGCTTGATTCCTCAGGCAACATCATATGTGGCCGACCGTGTTGGGAGTTTTGTTGCTTCTCACTCTTATTCCGCCATGGCCATCAAAACAACACATCACTCCCACGTTAATCCCGCCAGCTGCACAGGGTAAATTTGAAACAGAACCACTTTGTGGATGAGCTAGCGCCACTAAATCATTATTTATTTATTTACTTATTTACTTATCCCTTGTGCCTCGGGGGGTAAACAAATGAAAATTCCTGGAACGAAATTGTCAGTTACATTTTTTTAAATTCAGTTAGGAATTAGTTAATCTGTTATTTGAAATATGAAACACCCAATATTTAATTCTGTCTAAATCAAGAGAGAATGAGCTGTCCCTCTTAGTCTAAATGGGATACTTTCCATTGCTTACAGGAGAAACATGGTATTATGTTTTTATGAACCTGCTTCAAAGGAGGTAGTTTTGCGCATCCGTAGTATTAGAAATAAGAAATTAAATGACTCACAGCGATAATTCAGGTCAGTATACCCTGATTTTTCACTCGACCAGCCGGTAATGTTGTTCATTCCAGTGCATTTATAAGCCCCTGCGTGTTTTTCTTGGATATTAGCATTACGGAGAAGGGAACTTAAGGTATCCTTTCCACGCAGCTGCTCTGAGATGTAAAAACCTTCAGATCCGTTGATGATTTGTTTGTTTTCTGGATTGGACCAAACTACACGAGGACGAGGCCATCCCTTGAAGGTACACTTCAGTTCCATTTCTGTCGTGTCAGGATAGTAGTCAACGGGAGAACTTGTCTTATATACTCTCTCAACTGAAACTGAGAAGGAATTTTTCGTCTTAATTTCAAAGCTCGTAAGTCATGCACCCAGTCATTAAACTAGGGAACTTAAGTGACCAACTCAAAAGCCAAACCTACTATGGCGTCTGCTCAGATTTCACTTTTGATCAGGATTTATGTAAATTATTTTTTTCTTACTTTTGTAATGTATTGTAATTCTATTTTGTAGTGACCTCTTGATTTATTCAGATCTACCATTTTATTCTCTCCATGCCCACAAATAGCAAGAAAAAACAATTTTTTAAGAGGAAAACAACATTTGCTGCACGTGCATCAAGTTTCTTAGTACATTACTTTGACGTTGACTGCACGACTATGAAGTGAAACCTCCTAATGCGACGTTTTATAGAGAAAGTAAACATACAACGACAAATTCTCCTTTTTCTTTCTGAACCTGGATAAAGTCCTTAAGAATTCAACTCCAAGAGAAATCGCCTACATTTGAAAAATTAAGCAGCTTCAAGTAGACGCGATAACATTTGAAATATGGCAAATTTAATTTTTTAGTGACGTTTTCACTGCCGTCGTCGTCGTTGCTTAGCTCACGATTTTTAAGATAACTACAGTCATCTCTCTTACCGACACCTTCCAACCAACCATGTTTTACTCCATGCCTTGTTCATTTTAAATAGGCCCTTTGCAGTAAGTCATTCTTGTTGCACAAACCTGCCATGCTGGAGAGCGAGGCCCTACGCACTGAGTCAAGCCAAACAAAAAGCTAACATCACTTAGAATGATTCCTTTGTTTGTTGTTTGTCATGTCCCTTTGCTTTTCTCGCCCTCCAGCATAGCATATTACTGGAACAACCAAAGGCTATCACTTCGACTTGACTCTCGGTTTCAGCCACTCATCTAGGTCGCTAAGGTCAACACTTATTTGGGCTGTAGCTTTAACTTTTGCCTGCTTCACCTCACTGCAATTTTTGGAGCCAGCTTTGTAACAATTTGCTGCATTTAAGTTGCAGGTCTAAAGCCTGCTCCATGAATGTTCTCACAATATATGTTGCGCGAGTTGTCAAATTGTTTTCATCCTGATCTGCTGATATCTCCAGGAACTTATTGATCAGTGACTTTGAAATAAGAGCTGGGTTTCCAAATCGTTCAGTCAGCTTTTTATACTATTGCTCAAAAGACTTATCTTTTGGACGTTCAGGGGCTAACAAATTTCACGGCACGCCATATGCACCTGCTACGATAAACGCTAGAAACGTAGCAACTTTGTAATCCGCCTTGACATAATTCGCCGCAAAATACAATTCCACTCTTTGGATATAACTTGCAATATCTTTTTTACCGTCCACATACTCTCCAACTTGACCTAGAAGCGCCATCCTCGTCGCCAAAATTGTAATATTCTGGTCTTAAACAACAACACGAAACGAACCATTTGCTAGTGATTCTTTTAATGCAACTGCGCATGTGCAAAACCTGCCCTAAAATATAAGAGGTCTGGAACCTAATACATTACTCATCCCAGATGCAATGCTGGATTCTGATTCGGCTATTGTATCATGTGAAACGATTATGCAGATAAATGAGGGTGTTACGATTCACCTTCCCCTTGATGGGTATCGCGACACAGAGTTGCTGTCTGGCACCTAGTAATAAATAGCCCCACACGAGTAGAAATTTCAGCTATAATTTACACTATAATTATTTCAAAAACAGAAGTAGACTTTACCCTCCAATTGCCTTATCCGTTTAAAAGGATATTTCAAGTGCACGTATTTATGGAATTCGCTGTCCACCAGTTTCGGTAGAGTACGACTTTTCCTACCCTATTCACAGATCTGAAGAGGGATGATTTAAAACAATAGCAACAACAAAAATACAAAAAACTCATGCACGAACATGTAATTTCAGACCCTGTATCCAAACGGCACAAAACCTTTCCCCGTTTCAGACCTAGACAGTTTCGAACAATTCGCTAACAAAGGGAGTACCCGGTCACGGAAACAAATGGGCTATGACGTCATGGTTTGCTGGAACTCTTTAGGCTATTTGAGTTTTCAGAAACCTCAGAGTTAACGTAGTAAAAAAACTATTCAAGGAATTTTTATATTTAATCTTGCTGGCAAAAGTAGGAAAACCGTAAACGCCCAACAGGAAGCACAAAAGTATCCGCTTTGTTCGAACTTTTATAAGTTTTTTACCGACCGCCGTACTGCAAGGATCAAAGTGTTAACAGTTTACCTGCTACCCGGACCGATTTAATGCTTATTCCGAGGACATTTTAGAAAACTCGCCATAGAAGTAAGTGAACTGTATGTTACCTTCGCCTTTGTTAATTTAGTCTTTCTTTCGTTACCTTTTAAACAGAGTTAAAGTAGCTTAAATTGAGTTTGTTTCAAGAACCACGTGATTTCGCTTGTATCAACGTTTAGCTTTTATCGGCATTTTTTTCCCGCTTTTTTTAGTTTCAATTATCAATTATTTGATTACACTTCTTGAATAGAATATATTTGTTCAATTTGATTATAGATCGAATGAAATTACTGTTATACAATTGCGAGTTATTCTTCGGATTAAATTCTTCGTTTTCTTATGAAACACTCAGTTGCAATCAGGTTCAATCCTTCAAGCTGGTCCTTACATGACATGACTCCTTTTGCATTTGCTGTGTTACTATTTTGAGCCCGAAGGGGCGGGGGGGGGGGACTTCCGTTTAAGAGGGTTTTTAATACTTTTTATTGTAGTTTTTAATAGTTGGAGTCACCTTTAACATAAATTTAATATAACAATTTGTAAAGCGCAACCGAATATATTCATATAGGGGTTTGCGCTATATAAATGTCGCTGGATGGGATCGCATTTTCGCGTCTGGATTGACTATAATGGTGTCGCACATTTTCGGAGTTTTTGGGGTAAAACAGTTCTTCATATTTATGGTTAGCAAACGTACCAGAATGTTTGTATTTCAGATGAAAAGTAAAGTGTTTCTCATTCAATCTAAAAAATGGGTGAATTCATAAAAATAGAAAGTTACTAAGTTGGTATCGCGAAAACTACACATTTGTCCAAAAGTGACTAAGATGGGGCCTATAATTGGCCACAGAATAGACGGAAATGGGGTAGGGGCTCTGAGAGGCCAGCGGCATGTACCCAGGAAAAATTTACCCAAGTAACACCCCGCGCCCCCCTCGGTCTTTTGAGCGGTTATTTTCATGTTTCACTCAATTTGGTGGCGTTTTCCATTGTTTGAATTTTGATAAATTTCGTGAGACAAGACCTTTAGATATAACAGGAGTATCAGTACCTGGAAATACTTTCAACTGGATAGTTGAAGACCTGGAATAGCCGAAGTTGCAGACATAGCGACATTCATACTCTCCTTTGTCTGCATCAGTAGCGTTAACAATGGTGAGACTGAAATCTTTTTTGCATTTGGTGTTGGTTTTCCTTTCTTGTATATCATACTTTTCACCAGATTTTAATTTCACTGAGCTGTTGTTAAAATACCACTGTAAAGAATTGTCATCACAGTTGCTTGGGCTAACACCTCCTCTGCACTTTAACCTGACATTGAGGTAGGCCGTCTTGAAAACCTCGAGAGAATTAATCTGCGGAGCTTTAGGCAAGAGACCTGTATTAGATGATAAGAAGATATGATGAGCAAATATCATTTGAAAATCGTTACCATTTTTTTGTGCAACCGTAGGAGGTAACATTCTTACTCTTACCCTCCCCTCCTGAGTATTTGTGACAATATATGGGGCATCACAACACTTTGGAGTTTTCACGTGTTGATTTTGTTTATCCCACTGGTTTCCTCTTTTGCGACTTGTCTCGTCACGCCGTCTTTAGACACGCTCTCACGATCGGTTGATCGGATGAACCCCACTTCTCTTACCTCCCACCAATATGGCCTGTGCTACTAAGTTTTGATTTCAATAGATAGTCGGCGTCTCGTTTTCTCTTTTCAACAATCACATAACAGCTTACATTGGAATGTTGATGTAACGAACAGCTGAACGAAGACCAAAAGGACTGGCAAAATATGCTCGCCATAGAGAGGTTTTGTTATATCGAGGTTCCTTTTATTCATTGTACAGTCAAACCCCGCTCCAGTCTGGAACCCGCTCAATACAGAGATCTCATTGTTACGGACAGTTTGCTTTGTCCCTGGGGAAAGAAAGTCCTTTCATTTTCTTCCCGCTTAATAAGGTCACCAAGTGAATACAGACATATTCTTAGCACGGCCCCTTCCGTGTCGGGATTTACGGGGTTTGACTGTATTCTTTCTTTGGCGGAGAGTATCGCTTATTTTTAAAAATTGAATCACTGGATAATGCCATTCTAGAGCTCTGATTGGCTTAGCCATCATGGTATATGAGCCGTTATACCATGCTCTTCAAACATGGTAACCGTACGCGTCTGCTCAAAATCAAAAACAAGATGAAAATCGGTTGGTTTACAAATAAAGTCGGAAAAAATTCTCGATATTTTGTGGGCGTCTTTAATAGAATAATTATTCCACTCGCTTTTTGGAAATGAGATGATTATAGTCAACACGGTGCTACGCGCCTCGTTGGTTACCTACCATCTCATATGTAACGTACACTCGTGGAATAAGTGGAATAATTGTTAATTATACTAAGACTTGGTTATATATAGGTTCTACTGAATTTCAGGTGAGAACACTCCCCTCTCATTAATGACTGTCCTGTGCTTGATTCCTCAGGCAACATCATATAAGGTCGGCCGGGTTGGGAGTTTTGTTGCTTCTCACCCTTATTCCGCCATCGCCATCAAAGCAACACGTCACTCCCACGTTAATCCCGCCAGCTGCGCGGGGTAAATTTGAGACAGAACCACTATGTGGATGAGCTAGCGCCACTAAATCATTATTTATTTATTTACTTATTTACTTATCCCTTGTGCCCCGGGGGGTAAACAAATGAAAATTCCTGGCACGAAATTGTCAGTTACATTTTTTTAAATTCAGTTAGGAATAAGTTAATCTGTCATTTGAAACATGAAACACCGAATATTTAATTCCGTCTAAATCAAGAGAGAATGAGCTGTCCCTCTTAGTCTAATTGGGATACTTTCCATTGCTTACAGGAGAAACATGGTATTATGTTTTTATGAACCTGCTTCAAAGGAGGTAGTTTTGCGCATCCGTAGTATTAGAAATAAGAAATTAAATGACTCACAGCGATAATTCAGGTCAGTATACCCTGATTTTTCACTCGACCAGCCGGTAATGTTGTTCATTCCAGTGCATTTATAAGCCCCTGCGTGTTTTTCTTGGATATCAGGATTACGGAGAAGGGAAGTTAAGGTATCCTCTCCATCCAGCTGCTCTGAGATGTAAAAACCTTCAGATCCGTTGATGATTTGTTTTTTATCTGGATTGTACCAAACTACACGAGGACGAGGCCATCCCTTGAAGGTACACTTCAGTTCCATTTCTGTCGTGTTAGGATAGTAGTCAACGGGAGAACTTGTCTTATCTCCTTTCTGAACTGAAACTGAGAAGGAATTCTTCGTCTTAATTTCAAAGCTCCTAAGTCATGCACCCAGTCATTAAACTAGGAAACGTAAGTGACCAACTCAAAAGCCAAACCTACTATGGCGTCTGCTCAGATTTTACCTTTGATCAGGATTTATGTAAATTATTCTTTTATTTTTTTCTTACTTTTGTAATGTATTGTAATTCTATTTTGCAGTAACCTCTTGATTTATTCAGATTTACCATTTTGTTCTCTCAATGCCCACAAATAGCAAGAAAAAACGATTTTTTAAGATGAAAACAACAGTTGCTGCACGTGTATCAAGCTTCTTAGTACATTACTTTGACGTTGACTGCACGACTATGAAGTGAAACCTCGTAATGCGACGTTTTATAGAGAAAGTAAACATACCACGACAAATTCTCCTTTTTCTTTGTGAACCTGGATAAAGTCCTTAAGAATTCAACTCCAAGAGAAATCGCCTACATTTGAAAAATTAAGCAGCTTCAAGTAGACGCGATAACATTTGAAACGAGGCAAATTTAAATTTTTAGTGACATTTTCACTGCCGTCGTCGTCGTCTTCGTTGCTTAGCTCACTATTTTTCAGATATCTACAGTCATCTCTCTTACCGACACCTTCCCAAACGGACCAACCATGTTTTACTCCATGCCTTGTCCATTTTAAATAGGCCCTTTGCAGTAAGTCATTCTTGTTGCACAAACCTGCCATGCTGGAGAGCGAGGCCCTACGCACTGAGTCAAGCCAAACAAAAAGCTAACATCACTTAGAACGATTCCTTTGTTTGTTGTTTGTCATGTCCCTTTGCTTTTCTCGCCCTCCAGCATGGCATATTACTGGAACAACCAAAGGCTATCACTTCGACTTGACTCTCGGTTTCAGCCACTCATCTAGGTCGCTAAGGTCAACTTATTTGGGCTGTAGCTTTAACTTTTGCCTGCTTCATCTTACTTGAATTTTTGGAGCTAGCTTTGTAACAATCTGCTGCATTGTAGTTGCTGGTCTAAAGCCTGCTCCATGAATGTTCTCACAATATATGATGCGCGAGTTGTCAAATTGTTTTCATCCTGATCTGCTGATATCTCCAGGAACTTACTGATCAGTGACTTTGAAATAAGAGCTGGGTTTCCAAATCGTTCAGTCAGCTTTTGATACTATTGCACAAAAGACATATATTGGACGTTTAGGGGCTAACAAATTTCGCGGCACGCCATATGCATCTGCTACGATAAACGCTAGAAACGTAGCAACTTTGTAATCCGCCTTGACATAATGGGTAAAAAAAAAAGGGGTCAATTCATAAAAATAGAAAGTTACTAAGTTGGTATCGCGAAAACTACACATTTGCCCAAAAGTGACTAAGATGGGGCCTATAATTGGCCACAGAATAGACTACAATCGGGTAAGGGCTCTGAGAGGCCAGCGGCATGTACCCAGCAAAAATTTACCCAAGTAACACCCCCCGCCCTCCTCGGTCTTTTGAGCGGTTATTTTCATGTTTCACTCAATTTGGTGGCGTTTTCCATTGTTTGAATTTTGATAAATTTCGTGAGACAGGACCTTTAGATATAACAGGAGTATCAGTACCTGGAAATACTTTCAACTGGATAGTTGAAGACCTGGAATAGCCGAAGTTGCAGACATAGCGACATTTATACTCTCCTTTGTCTGCATCAGTAGCGTTAACAATGGTGAGACTGAAATCCTTTTTGCATTTGGTGTTGGTTTTCCTTTCTTGTATATCATACTTTTCACCAGATTTTAATTTCACTGAGCTGTTGTTAAAATACCACTGTAAAGAATTGTCATCACAGTTGCTTGGGCTAACACCTACTCTGCACTTTAACCTGACATTGAGGTAGGCTGTCTCGAAAACCTCGAGAGAAGTAATCTGCGGAGCGTTAGGCAAGAGACCTGTATTAGATGATAAGAAGACATGATGAGCAAATATCATTTGAAAATCGTTACCATTTTTTTGTGCAACCGTAGGGGGTAGCATTCTGACTCTTACCCTCCCCTCCTGAGTAATTGTGACAATATATGGGACATCAAGACGCTTTGGAGTTTTTACCTGTTGATTTTGTTTATCCCACTGGTTCCCTCTTTTGCGACTTGTCTCGTCACGCCGTCTATAGAGACGCCCTAACGATGGGTTGATCGGATGAACCCCACTTCTCTTACCTCCCACCAATATGGCCTGTGCTACTAAGTGTTGATTTCAATAGCTATTCGACGTCTCCTTTTCTCTTTCTAACAACCACATAACACTTTACATTGGAATCTTGATATAACAAACAGCTGAACGAAGACGAAAAGGACTGGCAAAATATGCTCGCCATAAAGAGGTTTTGTTATATCGAGGTTCCTTTTATTTATTGTACAGTCAAACCCCGCTCCAGTATGGAAACCCGCTCAATACAGAGATCTCATTGTTACGGACAGGTTGCTTTGTCCCTGGGGAAAGAAAGTCCTTTCATTTTCTATCCGCTTAATAAGGTCACCCCGTTAATACAGACACTTTCTTAGTACGGCCCGCTCATTGTCGGGATTTACGGGGTTTGACTGTATTATTTCTGGGGTGGAGAGTATCGCTTATTATTAAAAATTGAATCATTGGATAATGCAATTCTAGAGCTCTGATTGGCTTAGCCGTCATGGTATATGAGCCGTTATACCATGCTCTTCAAATATGGTAACTGTACACGTCTGCTCAAAATCAAAAACAAGATGAAAATCGGTTGGTTTACAAATAAAGTTGGGAAGATTTCTCAATATTTTGTGGGCGTCTTTAATAGAATAATTATTCCACTCGCGCTTGGTGGATATAAGATGATTATAGCCAACACGGTGCTACGCGCCTCTTTGGCTAACTACCATCTCATATCTAACGCACACTCGTGGTGGAATAATTGTGAATTATACCGAGGACTTGGTTATAATTTTATAGAGGTTCTACTGAATTTCCGGTGAGAACACTCCCCTCTCATTAATGACTGTCCTGTGCTTGATTCCTCAGGCAACATCATATGTGGCCGGCCGGGTTGAGTTTTGTTACTTCTCACCCTTATTCCGCCATTGCCACCAAAACAACACATCACTCCCACGTTAATCCCGCCAGCTGCGCGGGGTAAACTTGAGCCAGAATGGTAGACAAAGAACCACTTTGTGGATGAGATATCGCCACTAAATCATTATTTATTTACTTATTTACTTATCCCTTGTGATCCGAGGGGTAAACAAATAAAAATTCCAGCGTCCATTTAGTCTAAATGGAAGAGGAAGGTGGCACGAAATTGTCAGTTACATTTTTTAAAATTCAGTTAGGAATAAGTTAATCTGTTATTTGAAATATGAAACACCCAGTATTTAATTCTGTCTAAATCAAGAGAGAATGAGCTGTCCCTCTTAGTCTAAATGGGATACTTTCCATTGCTTACAGGAGAAACATGGTATTATGTTTTTATGAACCTGCTTCAAAGGAGGTAGTTTTGCGCATCCGTAGTATTAGAAATAAGAAATTAAATGACTCACAGCGATAATGCAGGTCAATATACGCTGATATTTTAGTCGACCAGCCGGTAATGGTGTTCATTCCAGTGCATTTATAAGCCCCAGCGTGTTTTTCTTGGATATTAAGATTACGGAGAAGGGAAGTTAAGGTATCCTCTCCATCCAGCTGCTCTGAGATGTAAAAACCTTCAGATCCGTTGATGATTTGTTTTTTATCTGGATTGTACCAAACTACACGAGGACGAGGCCATCCCTTGAAGGTACACTTCAGTTCCATTTCTGTCGTGTTAGGATAGTAGTCAACGGGAGAACTTGTCTTATCTCCTTTCTGAACTGAAACTGAGAAGGAATTCTTCGTCTTAATTTCAAAGCTCATAAGTCATGCACCCAGTCATTTAAACATGGTAGGGAGCTTAAGTGACAAACTCGAAAGCCTAAGCTCCTTTGGCCACTGCCCACATTTCACCTTTGATCAGGATTTATGTAATTTGCTGGTTTTCTTCTTCTTGTTTTTGTAATATATTTGTAATTTTTATAGCAACCTCTTGAATTAGTGGGAAAAAATATCAAAATCTGAAATGTAAAAATCTGAACCACCACGATGTCAACGTCAAAACACAGTTGGTTTTAACATGAAAACAACAGTTGCTGCACGTGCGTCAAACTTCTTAGTACTTTTTTTTTGACGTTTACTCCAGGAATATGAAGTGAAACCTCCTAATCAAGGAATACGACGTTTTATAGAGAAAGTGAAAATACGACGACAAATTCTCCTTTTTCTTTCTGCCAACTCGGTGCTACGCGCCTTTTTGGCTCCCTACCATCTCATAATACCGAGGAGTTCGTTATATAGAGGTTCTACTGTATTTCAGGTGAGAACACTCCCCTCTCATTAATGACTGTCCTGTGCTTGATTCCTCAGGCAACTCGGAAGCCCGGGGGGGGGCAGATAGTGATTTCGTTTTTATTTTTCACTTTTCGCTTTTTATTTTTTACGTTTCCGTTTTTGTTTTTTAGTTCTCAGGTTTTGTTTGAAACGTTTTGATTTCCACTTCGTCATTTTGCTTTTCGGTTTTGGGTTTGGTTTTTATTTTGTCCTTTTCCGTTTTTGTTTTTAACGTTTTGATTTTCACTTCGTCATTTTCCTTTTTGGTTTTGGTTTTTGTTTTGATTTTTTAATTTTCCGTTTTTGTTTTTAACGTTTTCATTTTCACTTCGTCATCTTGCTCTTTGGTTTTGCTTTTGCTTTTGATTTTTCACTTTTCCGTTTTTGTTTTAAACTTTTTGATTTTCACTTAGCAATTTTAATCTATATTATGAAAACCAAAACCAAAACCTTATTATAACAATTGAAAACGAAAACCAAAAAAACAAAAACAAAAACAAAAACCAAAACCGACAACGTAGACCATCATGCTTTGCTGGAGGATCAATATGGCGGATCAAGGTGTCCATTCGGCGGAGTGCGGCTTTGTTGACTATGTTAGCCCAGGTAAATTATCTGATTTTACCTCCACTGATTGCTCTGAATCATAAATGGTATCTTTTTTTAACGCACCTTTTAATTCTTCTATTAAAGCTATGGAAATCGCGTTAATCGACTGGATCAGAAAGACCAATGCTACAGTTTTGGAATATGTTCAAGGAGACGGGATTTTGGCGTGGATTGGAGGTACTAACGTGGTGTAAGCTATCGCACATTTGTCAAGCTTTCATTTGCAGTGGATCGTAATCGCGTATGAGACTGTGAATATCGAGAGGAATAAAATCTTTGAGCATAATGGAAGGATAAAAGTATTGCCATTAAGTTTTTGACACGTGTCGGCTCTCAATCATGTAACAACAATAACAACGGCTCAAAACAATTCTTATGGATAAAACCTAGGTGAAACTGCTAAGTTTTATGTAGAAGTAATGAACAGTAAGCGACAATAAGAGGGCAAATTTGGTCACGCGGTATACAAATTCACGTTTACCGTTTGTCTTAGAGGTCACTGTACATTTATTGTTGTTCTTGTAACTCGTGTTCCATCGAAGCACTTACATTTATTACGTCCGTGCGTTCCATAATTTTAAGGAGAGTTGAAAACCGGAGAACCAGAAAAACTGACCTCCAGTCTCTGAGCAAGGGAAGGAACCATTAATTCTTGACGAAATTCATCAGGCTAGTGAAGTTGATAAGTCGATTTAAATGTTCTTAAAACATAGCCAGTCTTAATGATGCTGACAGTTTCGATGACTGTCAGCCATCTTTATCAAAACTTGAAAAACATTAAAAGTGTCAGAAGCCTTAAATAGGCTTTTGAAGGTGTTAATTATTGCGATAAACACGCAAAGTCACTCTGTAGACGCCCCCCCCTGGTTTGGGGGTGGAGATCACCCACGCCAGGATTTGAACCCGAGCATTGGTGGCAAGCCAGTTCTCTCTCTCCATCTCCCTTGCTCAGAGTAGTGTAAAAGTACCATGCAAAGGCAAGACAGTGAATTATTATACTCTTATGCCTTTACCGTGACAAATCAGATCATAGATTTATAGATTTGTCACTCATGACTGCGTACATTCTGGGTAGTCACGTAACTCTTCATGGGGTAACATAATTTCTAAGAAAGCATTGACAATAACCGAAAAAACAACAACAAAAAAACGTCCTCCAGCGGAGTATCTTTCATAGAAATCCGGACGAGAGACACTATTTTTTGTCATGGACTAACAAAGCTTCCGTTTCTTTCACTGCAGTGTACGTACATTAAAGAGGCGTTTTAAAGCCCTCAATATTAAACGCCATGTCCCGGTGTCACAAAATTGTAATTCTGAATGCCGTTTCGGTGAGCCATTATTAGTTGTTTGCCTACGTTCCAGTTATATGCTTTCTGTATAGACACAGTTGAAAGAAGGTCCAAGCATGATTACACGAATGCCCCCCCCATCCCCCAACAAACGAGCAAGGGAGACGCAGAGAGAGAACTTGCTTGCCACCAATGTAGCTCTAAGCAATGTAGCTCGGGTTCAAATCCTGGCGTGGGTTAAGTTTGATGATTCCTTCCGTTGCTCAGAGACTGGAGGTCAGTTTTTCTGGTTCTCCGGTTTTCAACTCTCCTTAAAATTATGGAACGCACGGACGTAATAAATGTAAGTGCTTCGATGGAACACGAGTTACAAGAACAACAATAAATGTACAGTGACCTCTAAGACAAACGGTAAACGTGAATTTGTATACCGCGTGACCAAATTTGCCCTCTTATTGTCGCTTACTGTTCATTACTTCTACATAAAACTTAGCAGTTTCACCTAGGTTTTATCCATAAGAATTGTTTTGAGCCGTTGTTATTGTTGTTACATGATTGAGAGCCGACACGTGTCAAAAACTTAATGGCAATACTTTTATCAGGGCTTCTGATATTTCGCGGAAAAAAAAGCAATATTTCGCGGAATTTTCAGGGGCACATTCGCGGAAAAATCGGCCGATTTCGCGGTATTTTCGCGGGAAAAAAGTCAAAATTCGCGGAATAATCGGCCGATTTCAGGCGATTTTCGCGGGAGAAAAGTCAAAATTCGCAGAAAAATCGGCCCATTTCGCGGGATTTTAGCGGAAAAGAGTCAATTTTCGAAGGATTTTCAGGGGCAAATAATTTCCTAAGAATGTCTTAGGAAAATCGGCCGATTTCACGAGAAATTTCGGGGGAAAACTTCGCCAAGAAACAACCAGTAAAAAACAACCGATTTCGCTGGGTTTTTTTTGGCAAATTTCGCTAAAATCGATCAATTTTGCGTCGATATGACCAGCGTCGGTGAACGTTTTTTTTTTAACACGGATAATCATTTGCTCTTTCAACAACAGTTCGCTCGAGAAATGAAGGCATGTTAAAGCTATCAACATAATGGTTAGTGCCCAGTTTTTCGCAACGTTCATCTAAAAACGCCTGGTAGTTTTGGGACGTTGTTTACTCCCTGCAGTGATGAAGTTTCAAGCTAAATTTGGACGTTTGGGGTTAATAAAACCGGTCTAATAGCCAAGATAAGTACTAAATATGTTTTGCCGACATGTATTTGCAAATATTTCGGGCGGATTTCGCGGTATTTCGCGGGATTTCGCGGAAATACCTGAATTTCGCGGGTCCGCGACCGCGCGAAATATCAGAAGCCCTGTTTTATCCTTCCATTATGCTCAAAGATTTTATTCCTCTCGATATTCACAGTCTCATCAGTGTACTCGATTACGATCCACTGTAAATGAAAGCTTGACAAATGTGCGATAGCCTACAGCACGTTAGTACCTTCAATCCAGGCCAAAATCCCGTCTACATGAAAATATTCCATAAGTGTAGCATTGGTCTTGGACTATCTGATCCAGTCGATTAACGCGATTTCCATAGTTTTAATAGAAGAATTGAAAGACACGTTAAAAAAAGATACAATTTATGATGCAGAGCAATCAGTGGAGGTAAAATCAGATAATTTACCTGGGCTAACATAGTCAACAAAGCCGCACTCCGCCGAGTGGACACCTTAATCCGCCATATTGATCCTCCAGCAAAGCATGATGGTCTTCGCTGTCGGTTTTGGTTTTTGTTTTTGTTTTTGTTTTTTTGGTTTTCGTTTTCAATTGTTATGATAAGGTTTTGGTTTTGGTTTTCATAATATAGATTAAAATTGCTAAGTGAAAATCAAAAAGTTTAAAACAAAAACGGAAAAGTAAAAAATCAAAATCAAAAGCAAAACCAAAGAGCAAACTGACGAAGTGAAAATGAAAACGTTAAAAACAAAAACGGAAAAGTAAAAAATCAAAATCAAAAGCAAAACCAAAAAGGAAAATGACGAAGTGAAAATCAAAACGTTAAAAACAAAAACAGAAAAGGACAAAATCAAAATCAAAACCAAAACCAAAAAGCAAAATGACTAAGTGAAAATCAAAACGTTAAAAACAAAAACGGAAAAGGACAAAATAAAAACCAAAACCAAATCCGGAAAGCAAAATGACGAAGTGAAAATCAGAACGTTTAAAACAAAAACTGAAAAGTAAAAAACAAAAACGGAAACGTAAAAAATAAAAAGCGAAAAGTGAAAAATAAAAACGACATCCCTATCTGGCCCCCCTGGGCTTCCTTACATATGTGGTGGGCCTAGTTGAGTTTTGTCGCTTCTTACCCTTATTCCGCCATCGCCGCCAAAAAAATACATCACTCCCACGTTAATCCCGCCATCTGGGCGGGGTAAATTTGAGCCAGAATGGCAGACAAAGAACCACTATGTGGATGAGCTAGCGCCACTAAATCGTTATTTATTTATTTAATTATTTACTTATTTACTTATCCCTTGTGACCCGAGGGATAAACAAATAAAA